GCAGTAGTAGTAGTAGTAGTAGTAGTAGTAGTAGTAGTAGTAGAAGAAGTAGTAGTCGGATAATTCGAAGGAGTAGTAGTAGTAGTAGTAGTAGTAGTAGTAGTAGTAGTATTAGTAGTGGTAGTAGTAGTAGTAGTAGTAGTAGTAATAATAATAGTCGTAGTTGTCGTCGTAGTCGTATACGTAGTCGTAGTCGTAGTCGTAGTCGTAGTCGTTGGAGCAGTAGTGGTAGTCGGAGTCGTCGTCGTCGTCGTAGTCGTGTTGTAGTAGTTGTAGTATGAGCGCTGGTAGTCGTAATTGAGGCGTTCACGAGGCGGCCACGTCCGGGCACGAAACGAATCCCTGCCCGCCAACCGGTCGCCACGATCGCGGTGGCCACGAGGCGTCCACGACCAGGTGCCAGGCGAATGTCCAGCCCGCCCATAGATCAGTTTTGGGAAACATTCTCCGCCCTCTTCTCCTCCTCCTCCACCTCTTCTTCCTCTCTTCCCGTATCCTCCCCTCCTCGTCCTCCTCCTTCTCCTCCTCCCCCTCTTCCTCCTCCTCCTCCTCCTTTTTTTGCGTGGCCTTCGGCTCCCCCCCCCGGCCGAGGAGAAGCTGGCGCCCGTCGATGGGCCGCCCATCCCCGGGCGCATGCCGTTCCCGCACCCGATGGCCATGTTCGCTGGCGGCGGCGGCACCCCCGTGCCGTGCGGAGCCCGCGCCGAAGCGTCGCCTTCCGCAGTGCCGCGCCGCCGCCGTCGGGCGACCTCCGCCCTCCCCCGTCGGGGCCCCGGCAGCCTCGAGCTGTCTGCGCTGCCGGTGGCGTGGCCGCGCGCGGGGCCCCCATCGCCGCCCAGACCCAGGGGGGGGTCCCCGAGGAGGCGAAGCGCGGGCCTCGGGGTGCTCCGAGGCCTCTCGAGGCGGCCAGGGCCGAACACCACGACCGTAGTCGTGCCGTCCTCTGGCGTCTCGGCCCCCCTTCGCGTGCTGGCGTTGCGACTTCGCCCCGTGCTGCTCCGAGGCTTCAGGAGGCCCCAGGCAGAGCAGCTCCACCTCGGCGCGGCGGCGCGGCGGCGGTGCCGGCGCTGGCATTCGAGGTGGGCCGCCGTGCCGGGGCACGTCTTTGGCCCTGGGGCCGACAGAGAGGAGCCTGCGTCGTGGGACCCGCTGGGAGGGTGGGTTCGAGGGCCTCTGGCGGCCTCCGACAGCGGACGTCCGTCGATTCGGCGCAAGTCTTCTTCAGGGGCAGAGCGGCAGACGGAATCTTTCGGAGTGCCTCGCTGTTTGGATCTGCGCTTCGCCCCCGTGCTCCGCGCGCTTGGGAGGGGGATCCCGGGCCGATGGAAGAAAAGCCCGCGCGGAATTCGGCAAGCTGATGTGTATGAATGTTGTGAAGGCCTTGCGGCCGGGGCCGCCGACCCCGAAGGGGGACGAAGACGACGGTGATGATGAGAAATACACACCACTAGCAGAAAATCACGGATGCTATGCTCTTGTGGAGGTTGTGTGGGGAGTGCTCTTGGGGCTCTTTTGGTTCATATTTTTGCATCTTTGTTTCAGGAGGCTCAAGGATGTGCACATGCACATCTAAAATGAGCTTCCCAGGAGAAGATGACAAACCATGGGGGAGGGGAGGACGAGAGTCAAGAACACATAGAAACTGTGGAGCATCCTAGTGCGCATCCAGTTATGTCTCCCTGGGCGCATGTATGGTTTTGCTTCTGCGTGCGGCTCTTCGCTGTGTTGGACGCGAGGGCGTCGAGGCGTGAGCCGGCCGTAGAGCGTCGGCAATGGGGAGCGGCGCGGAATCTGGCGTCGCCGATGCATCGACGGTGCGTCGGCGCTGCGGGTGCGGTCATCGGACCCCTTCTGGGAGAAGGAGGGGAGGAGGAGTAGGAGGAGGAGGATGAGGAGGAGGAGCAGGAGGAGCAGGAGAGAGTCTGGCTCCGCGACGGTCGCCAGGACCAACGGCCCAGCGTTTTTCGCCGCATTTGTTCCACGGGCGACCCCAGCGGCTATCAGCCGCGAACCAGCCAGGCCATTCAGGGCTGGCTTGGCACAGACGAGCACGGACTCAGCGACAACCTGCTCCCGACGTGGAAAGATTGCGACGAGCACGTGACATATTGCTCGTCCATCGCTGCGAACACATGCAGGGACAACATTCGACTTGCAAATGTGGAAGAAGTGCAGGGCACCCCCGAGGCCAACAACACCAAGAGGCAGATGTATTCCCCCCTAGCAGAAGGAAGTGTTCAAATCGTCGAATGCCATGGGCAAGGAACTTGACATGGAGATGTGGTAACTCATCTCGAAGACAGCGCCCGCCAACCCGAACGTGGCCCAGCAGTACGACCAATTCCAGAGACCGTCCAAACACGAAACTTTGCACACGGAGTTCAGAGGTGGAGTCAAACAAATATGTGCCGTCTGGCACACGTAATAGTCCGGGCACGAATGGCTGGCAGAGAACACATATTCGCACTAGTCGATATGGCCATGCTCAAGTGCTGCTTCATGGTATTGCAGCCGCCACAAAATTGATCAACGAGACAAAACGATTCTGGATCGAATGGAGCTAATCAGAACACGGCAAAATGATCATCGTTTTCAGGAGCTCGAGGCAGATGAGGATTTGAAACATTTCAAACAATGCATCGATCAACTGCAAGGGCTCCAGGCGAAAGAGGACGAGTGCGACATTGAAGAGGACTGGCAGAAGGAGTGGCAGGCTGTTGGCGTTGGACAAGAAGCTCCCGCTGCAGGTGTCATCTCATCTGCAATGGAAGCATCGATGGTACCAGTTGGTCGGAATCACAACACCTCATCAAACAACAAGGCCTGGTAAACATCGTGATTGCCATGGGCGAACGTCAGAATTCCCTGGAGCAACATCTTACTCATATAGCTCCAATGCAGCTGGCTCATGTGCAGCATATGCAGCAGGAGATGTACTACATGGCTGCAGGACCACAGCATCAGGGAGCGCAGGGAGTACCACAACAAGAAGTGCAGGGAGTACCTCCGCAGGGGGCCCAGGGAGCACCTCAGCAGGGAGTGCAACACGGAGTGCAGGGAGTACCTCAGCACGGAGTTCAGGGAGTCCCTCAGCAGGGACTACAAGGAGCACCACATCAGGGAGTGCACGGAGCACTTCAGCAGGACCTTTTTCCAGGGAGTGCACGGAGCACCACCACCGGGAGGACGGGGGGTATCACGTCAGGGAGTGCAGGGATTAGCTATTCGGGGAGTGCAGGGAGTACCCATTCAGGGAGGGCAGTGATTACCTAGTCAGGGTGGGGTTTATTTTGGCCCAGGACGCGCAGGAGAGTGTGACTCCATGGACGGGCTCAGGGCAGCTCCTGCGCAAACAGCCACGGCAGGTGACGGGCGCAGACGCTCTGCTGGGCCCGCCCTTGGAGATGCTCCTCCTCCTCCTCCTCCTCCTCCTCCTCTTCCTCCTCCCCCCCCTCCTCCTCCTCCCCTCCTCCTCCCCTCCTCCTCCTCCTCCTCCTCCTCCTCCTCCTCCTCCTCCTGCTCGCTGCCACAATCGCTGCGTCCAGTCAGAGTCGTGTGCCAGCGGTGGATCTCTCGCCGACTCAGTCGAGGAATCAACAGGACAGGAGGTCGTGGCCGGGCCCCCAGCGTCGATCACGTCGGATTGGAGTGCATGGCCGACATCACCGACTCAAGTACCAGCGCATTTTCTTTCGACTCAGGGGCTGCAAGATGGGCTGGCCTGGGAGGCGCCAGCGCCGCAGGCCAAGAGCTCGCGCCTGGAGTCTTCTTCCGAGCCGCCGGTGGAGAAGTGCTCCAGGGCATAGGACGATCTCTAAAGCAACGGCCTGGTAAAGTATCATGGGATGAGGATGAGGATGAGGATGAGGGTGAGGAGGAGGCGGAGGAGGAGGAGGCGACGGTGGAGGAGGAGGAGGACCAGTGTAAACCCAAGAGTCTTCAACGATGTTGGAATATACCCTCCCTCCAAGCTCCCTCTTCATAGGCCCCTACAACGGGTCATTTCCACAGGGAACTGCCTCGTTGGAAGACAACCGTTAGAAGACCCTGAAGCATGCCAAAACATTGTTCTCGGGATTTCAACGCCACGGATCAAGTTGAGTGTTGCGTCTTGACGATCCTGAATCGTGCCAAAACGCCATTCCTGGGACTTCAACACCGCGAATCAATCTGACTGTTGCACCCTCATAATCCTGAATCCTTCCGACACGTAATTCCTGGTAAGCTGATCATGGTAATTTGTGAAACGTTTGCACATTTGCAACGGATGTGCGCGGCGCTAAGGCGGGGGCACCATTTTGAAAAGGAACCGCCATCCATCCGTGAAACTCTTGCACATTTTAATTAAAAAAAGTGTCCGGCGCTAAGGCGAGAGCCACATTTTGAAAACCAGTCGCCCTCAATCCGTGAAGCTCTTGAACATTTTTAAACGAGTGTGAGCGGCGCTCAGGCGAGAGCCACATTTTGAAAACCACCCGCCCTCCATCTGTGAAACCGTTGTGATTTTTGAACCTTCAAGGTCATACATGGTGAGGATGTCTCAGGCGAAACGCCAGGTCCGCCCTAAAAACTGGTCCCGGGGTTGACCGGGGTTAAGGGAAAGGAATGGAGGAAGAGGAGGAGGAGGAGGAGGAGGAGGAGGAGGAGGAGGAGGAGGAGGAGGAGGAGGAGAAGAGAGGAGGAGCAGGAGGAGGAGGAGGAGGAGAAGGAGGAAGAGGATGATGCTGCTGCTGATGATGATGCTGCTGCTGATGGTGATGCTGATGACGATAATTGTGATGCTGATGCTGCTGATGATGCTGATGAACGTGCTGCTGCTGCTGATGATGTTCATGTTGATGCTGATGCTGCTGCTGATGATGCTGATGCTGCTGCTGATGATGATACTGATTATGATGATGACGATGATGACGATGACGATGACGATGACGATGACGATGGCGATGATGTTTATGATGATGATGTTGAAGGTGATGGTGATGGTGACGGTCATGGTGATGATGATGCTGCTGCTGATGATGATGATGACGATGGTGATGATGATGACGATGACGATGATGATGATGATGATGCTGATGCTGCTGCTGATGATGATGCTGATGATGCTGATGATGCTGCTGATGATGATGCTGATGATGATGCTGATGATGCTGCTGATGATGATGATGATGATGATGCTGATGATAATGATGATGATGATGATGATGATGATGATGATGATGATGATGATGATGATGATGATGATGATGATGATGAAGAAGAAGAATAATAATAATAAGCATAATAATAGTAATAATAATATTAATAATGATGATAATAATAATACTAATAATAATACTAATACTAATAATAATAATACTACTAATAATAATACTAACAACAATAATAATATTAATAATAATAATAACACTAATAATAATACTAATAATAACAATAATAATAATAATGATAATACTAATAACAATAATAATAATACTAATAATGATAATACTAATACTAATACTAATAATAATAATAATAATACTAATAATAATAATGATAATAATAATACTAAGAAGAATAAGATGCTGAGGAGGAGGAGGAGGAGGAGGAGGAGGAGAAGGGAGAAGAAGGGAGGAGCAGGAGGAGGAGGAGGAGGAGGAGGAGGAGGAGGAGGAGGCATATTGCCTCTAGAGGTCCCCGTTGGACGCTCTTGGGGCGCTCTTGGGACGTTCTTGGGACTTTCTTGGGTCCTTCTCGGGGCCCTCTTGGGGCTCTATTGGGGCTATTTCGAGGCCCTCTTGGGAGCCCTTGAGGGCCTCTTGGGGCTGTCGAGGAGGGCGTCGGCGAAAAGAGAGGGGTACGTTTGGTCCGTCCTCTGGGGCCTTCGAAATCTCGCATTGGGGCCCTCTTGGGACCCTCTTGGACGCTCTTGGGCCGCTCTTGGGCGCTCTTGGGGCCGCCGGGTTGGTCTTCTTGATACCTCTCGGGCCTCTCTTGTGCCATTTGGGGGGCATCTTGAGGCCAAGAGCATTGGAAGCGAAAAGGCGACAAGGCAAACATAAGTGATTTTCCAATGGTTTTTGAAGGACTTTGGCCTCTTGGGGGGATCCTGAGGGGTTCCGAGAGCACTTGCAACCGTCTTGTGGCCCCTGGGGGGCCTCTTGGAGGTATGTCAGACGCATCGTCGGCTATCTTGAGCCATCTTGGAGGCCATCTTGGAGCATCGGACGTCCACTTGGAGCCATCTTGGGCCGTCTTGGGCGCCCTGACACTTCGCGCCCCCCAAGAACAAGCTCAGGGAGGGGAGGGGGAGGGTACCCCTCCCGGAAGGGAAGAATATTTTTGGAAGAGGACAGAAGGAACTCGTCAGACCACCTTCGCCCAAAGGGCTGGTGGGATACCTGGGCCTGGGCGGCGCATCGTCAAAGAAACGAAAACGCGTATGGTTGGCTCTAAGTCCTCATCTGGGCCAGGAACGGTTGTGGCATTCATGCGCGCATGCCGTGCAGCGCGCGCGCAAGGAAGCTAGATTTAAGTCGGGCACATCCCTCTACATGAGGATTCTTCAAGAATAGCGAAAACATAGTCAGGGGAGGATTTTTACATTTTTTGTTGTTAGTATTTTTTGACTATTTTTTATTTTTCGTCCAAAACTCGCATGTAGGAGGACATGCCCGACCTGAAACTAGCTGTCAGGAGCCTCGCTTCGTTCGGCCCCTCGCTCCTCCCTAATTGTTCCCCCCTCCCCCCCTGGCGAGCCAGGCATGCCGATGATGCCGGGGATGGCCCCCATGCAGGCGGGCGCGCCCCTGTGGAAGCGCAGCCCCCCCATCCTCCTCCCTCCTCCTCCTCCTCCTCCTCCTCCTCCTCCTCCTCCTCCTCCTCCTTCTCCTTTGACGACGAAGACAAACCAGAGGATTTATTAACTCCATTTGGCAGCGATGTTAACAAAACATTTTACCTCCTACCTTCGCCCCGAGGGGCCGCCCCGCGGGGCTAGGTCGAGGACAAGTCCGTTCCAGAGCGTTCCAGAACGCTCTCACAGCGTTCAGGAACGCTCTGAGAAGGCCGCGGCGCCCGATGCATCCCCCACATCCGCCAGATCTCAGAGATTTCGATCTACCCGTGCTCTATTTTGTCCTCGTCCCAGCCTCGTCTTGGTGGAGACCCCCCCCTCTCTTCGCAGGAGGCAGCCATGTCCGGGGCCATCCTGTGCCCTGGGCTGGTAAGGCGTTCCTTTGCAAGCACATCGTCTTCGGCACCGCCCGATTCCGGGGCTTTGCCCCCTCCTGGCCTTGACGTGAGGCCCCTCCTTCTGCCCCCCCCTTCCGTTAATTAAAGCTGTGCGCGGCCCGCTTAGCTTCGACTGGAAGAGGTTCGCTCTCGACCCGCGGATCAAAAAAGTGCCCTGGGCTGGTGCATGGCAGGTTCTTGCCGTGTCGACGTGGCGCCGGCCCCCACCCCCTGGGCGTTCGGGTAGGCAGGCCGCCAGGGGCCCAGAAGCGGCCACTACGGAAC